GATTACCTTGGGTGCAATCTGAACTATTTTTATACTATTCAGATACTTTCGTAACAATACTGTTAAAGTCATTAAAATTCCTTCAAAACTTTTTTATTTATTTTGATGCCCTTTAGAGCTTCGTGAAAAGCGCGAGCATTTCCTACATGGTCATGAGAAACCTGATGGCGAATAGAGGACATTAGCTAGATTGTGTTTTGTTTTGCCCCATCATAGGTTATTTTGATTCGCGACTCGTTAGTGTTAAGCAAATATAAAAACGCGGTTTCATGCTTTATAGTGTAAACACAAAATGTGAAAGGGAGGCTGACTATAATACTCGGGAAATCGCGATAATTTCCGACGATGTCCGGTTTTGATACGAGTGTAACCGGAACGCGTTCCGCAGATGCGTTCCGGTAAAAGTTGAACGCAAATGGAACGCAATTGGAACGCGAATGGAACACAAATGGAACGCGAATGGAACGCAAATGGAACCCAAATGGGACGCATTTAGGAACGCGTCCGAACGCGTTTTCTGTTAGGTTATTTCTGAGCAGCACTGTATGAAAATAGTTAGAATGCAATTTTGGGCATCTCAGTCGATAGAACCAATTGTATTTTATACATTTATTAACTGTAGGCCCTCTGTATAAAATTGCATGTATAAAATTTGCACTCGATAATTTTGTTGTACAAAACCATTCTATAATACCATAAATAATTGAAGAAACTACTGAGGTTTAGACGAATTATCTGAGAAAGATGAGGAATTTTCGACATTAATTACAAGCGAAGGCAGGAAGTGTGGAAGTGCTTTCCATTATTTATCAGATATCTTGCTACAGACACTTCCTATGTTTGGTTACAATCAATGGTAGATTAAGTACTTGACAGTCACTTTGCTCTCTAAGCCCAGCTATAACTAGGAAACTCACCTGAGTGAGATCTGCATGGCCTTGGTTAACGAAAAGAAATTTGTCAGAAATACGTTTTCATTTTTCATATTACAAAATAACGTCATCGTGATAATAGAAACAAGTTGCATCTGGGATACAAGTGTAGTACTTCGTGTTTAAAACTGAAAGGTTGAAAAATACCAGTTTTAAACTGGTATTTTTCATAAGTTAAACCTTTATATAAGAATAAATATTAGAAAATGAGTTGAACAAAATCTAATTTGTGATCGTGTGAGATACGAGCCATCCTAGTTAGTTGTAGACTGTGAGCCCTCCCTTCTTTCTGCGGGTTTAGATTTCCGAGCACGTGAAAGGAAAGGTGGGACTGCCGACAACACACCAAGAAACGAAATACGCGTTGCCCACACAACGCAAAATTTCCATTGGTAGAAATCGATATGCCTGTCAATCAAATCTGATACGTAGTAATTATGCTATAAATAATTTCCACGCTGAATGTTGATTTTATAAATAAACATGACATTAATTTAACGGTTCCAATTGGATAGAATTAATTGGATATAAATAATGCTTATACAAAGGCGCGCGCAGGTCACTTGACAAATGCGAAAAGTGGGCGTATTTCGTTTGTTGATGTGCTGTTAGACTTATGTGTTGTCGGCGGTCCCTCCTTTCTCGCCTGGGTGCTCGTGGTGTAGGTTAGATGAAATGTTGTTAAGTGAGATAGTATAAAATTTTCCACATGAAGGCTTTACGACCTTTATTTCATCAAACCAGGATGAACATTGTTGCCGATTTTCAGCTATAATATTGTATTGAGCGGGATAGTTGGAAAATACAAACAAAATAGTAAATATTAATAGACCTAAACATACATGTGCAGTTTTTATCATTACAAAAAAGTATTTCGTCGACGCTATGTTTACATAATGTCATCCCACCGATCGAGGCGGGATATTTGGTGGGTTAAAAACAGTCATGCAAACTAGAAAATACATGCATGTAGAAACCCTCGCCTTGATGACAAAACCATCATATTTTATTAACATGAAATATTTAAAGTAGTTGTCATGGTAACACGATAATTTTATTAAGAATATTTTTAAAATTAACAAATCCCTTAAAAATATCACTACAAATTTATCAATTTCCCAAACATATATATGTTAGGTATGTTATTATACATAATATTAGCTTCAATTTAATGTACAATTCAACCACAAGCGCTTCGCAAAACGTTTTAAAATGTTCTTTATAGAACTAAACTGCCTTTATGCATAAACTTTGAGTTTAAAATAATTATAATGATTCCAAATTTTTGCATAAAAATAACTTTGCTTTCTTTTTTTATTTAAAATAATAAAAAAGGGTAATCAAGAAAGATACAGTAAAATAATATGCAGTCTTTTTTCATTATACGCAACGATCAGCTTTTATAGCAATTATAAAGCAAACAATACATCAATATTTCAAACAAACTTATACATTTGCTTCCTTCGTTTAGCAATTATTTTGCCTCTCTTCTCAAAAAGCTTTTGAAATTTACAAAATCTTGCAAAATTGAAATATATCTGCAAGAAATGTTTGTAATTTCGCTGTTATCATGCACTCGTTATAATGCAAATTATTAATTTGACCAATCAGTGTTCGCTATTCACAACAGTCCGCTAAATTTTGAGATTAGTTAATTAAATTTTGAGATCATGCACGATAACCATGCGCCCGCGATTATTGATGAACTATAGCCTTTTCCCAACTTTTCCACAGATTAGAAATTAAATATAATAATAATACAGTATAATTTATAATCTGAGACTTCGCTAATCCTCCCTTTTCCAGAGGGTGAATAGCCGGGCGGAATTAGTACCCTTACCCGGGCTTACGCCCGGAACGGCGCGAATGAAGACAGAAAGCTCACCTGAGTGAGATGAATGATCACCGCGTATACTTTGCAATCATATTATCAGCCTCATGTTCATGTTATTTTTTCATTTACATTCAAACAATTTCAGGAGAATGTTCTTTATGGGCTTTATATAATACACACATGTATTTTATGACTAAAATGATGTATCTCTTTGAAACCAGGAATTTTCAGGCAACACTGACAGAGATACTGTTGTGCGCCAAGAAGTTTCACCCGATCTTGTTGCAAGATTCATCAGAATCCAACCAAAGACTTGGGAATCGCGCATTTCCATGAGAGCTGAGGTTCATGGTTGTTTAGAAGGTACAGTGAGACGCGGAAAATATCCGCATTCTAACATTTTAAAATCAGTCTCTGGCATGATCGGAGTTAAGTTACTGATAGCCTGCGTGCAGTCCTAGACTAAGTTACCATCGAAACGGCTAAAGTAGTAAACTGTCCCTCGAAATTTTCACGCGGGGGATTGATTTTATGTCATAAACGTCTTAGGCAAGCTCGTGACCGGGTTTGAACCTCAACAGAGCTCATGAACAATCAACAATGTTTCAGGGGTAGATTGCTTAATTAAGCTAGAAAATACATGCATGCAGCAACCTTCGTCTTCCTGAAAAAACCATCGTACTTTCCGAACATGAAGTATTTAAAGTAGTTGTCATGGTAACGCGATAATTTCATTAAGAATGTTTTTACAATTGAAAAATCCCCAAAAAATATCACCTATAAGTACAAAATTATCAATTTCCCAAACATATATAAGTTATAGATTTGTTATTTTACGTAATATAAGCTTAAATTTAATTAAGGTAATTCCGCAGTTTTGCATTGCGCACTTTTACTGCGCACATCATATAACTTATAATTTCATAATGATACGTACCGTTTAAAAAAAATTATTTTATGACAATTTTATGTTACTTCAAAACATCTTTGGTTACATTCGTGCAAAGAATTACGTTAAAATCAATGTTTTCAAAAAAGGCATACAGAAGTGTAGCTAGGGTTCCCTGTGTCTGTAGTAGATTTAATTACTTGTATTTCACGATTTAATGCCAAAATTCCCTAAAAAGATCGGTGCATGACCCCCGTTTTTTAACTGATAATTTATTTCTTTAATGCATTTTACATTTCATATCCGAAATTAAAAGAAAAATCATTTCTGGATCTTGAAAAAAAATCCTTTATCAATGCTTGTTCTCGAAGAAAGAAATATGTAAAGAAATGTGGAACAGACATTTGTGGATCAGAAGTGTACACGTTAGTAGATTCATTTTCCTCAAAACACAATATTTTTTCAAAAATAATTACAAGATATGTTTGCTAAAGCAAAATCCGCGTTAAAAGCGTCAATAAATATCGGGCTGTTGTGATTTTGCTGTTACTCGTAGTGAGCGTCAAGATGGTGCCATATTGGGGGTAAAGGTGGTATATTATGATTGTCATATCTTCGTAACGAGTTCGGTGACCCGGACTTTTTTGTGCGATTTTACTTTAAGTATATCATAAACTCCATGCCTGGGAAGTTTCAGCACATTCTCATTTCGGGAACAATTACTGCGGAATTACCTTAATGTAAAATTCAACCACGTTTCTGCAAAACGTTTTAAAATGTTCTTTATAAAACTAAACTGTCGATAAACTTTGAGTTTGAAGTAAAATGGTTTCAAATTCACGCATGCAAATAACTTTGCTTTCTTTTTTATTTAAAAATTTTAATATAATAATCAATAATTTTAATCAATAAAGATACACTGATATTATAATATGTGTTGTGTCTTTTTTCATTATACGTAACGACCAGCTTTTAAAGCAATTATAAAGCAAACAATACATTATTATTTAAAACAAACGTTCCATCATTAACGTTGATGTTTGCTCCCTTCTTCTAGCAATCATTCGCCTTTTTTATCTCAAAAAGCTTTTCAAATTTACAAATTCTTGCAAAAATGACATATATTTGCGAGAAATAAAAAAAGTTATGCTGCTATTTCGCTGTCGTCATGTAGTTCTTATAATGCAAATTTTAAATTGGACCAATCACTGTTCACTATTTCATTTAGGACAATCTCAACTGGTAATCTCAACTGTTTTAGGGTAAAATGACCGTGGCGGTCAACATTTTCCAACCCCTCTAAGCCGCATGAACTTAATCAATGCACGACGATCATATACAATACAATAGCGAGACTAGAAGATTAAGACTATTCTCTTAATTCCAACTTGGCACTGAATAATGTTAAAACCAAATGGATGTTAATTTCTCAAGGCAAATGTCTCGTGTGCACAACCTACTGTATGTTGAAGTAGTACCATTACTCTAACTTAGGGACTGGCCGTAAAGTAACAGCTATAGGGTGGGCTGGAGTGATTTGGGATGGGCCATGGAAAATCTTTGGGCAGTTTGGGATGGGCCGCCAAATTTTTTGTATAGCTCCTTAGGCTCGTAGCCAGCTTCCTAGGCTCGGAGGCAGATCCTTAGGCTCGGAGCCAGCTCCTAAGGCTTGGAGCCTAGGGAGCACGGCTCCGAGCCTAAGGAGCTCGGCTCCGAACCTAAGGAGCTGGCTCCGAGCCTAAGGAGTTGGCTCCGAGCCTAAGTAGCTGGCTCCGAGCCTAAGGAGCTGGCACCGAGCCTAGCGAGCTGGCTCCGAGCCTAAGGAGCTCGGCTCCGAACCTAAGGAGCTGGTTCCGAGCCTAGGGAGCTGGGTCCGAGCCTAAGGAGCTTGGCTCCGAGCTTAAGGAGCTGGCTCCGAGCCTATGGAGCTGGCTCCGAGATACTAGCTGGGCGTTGTGTGATATAAACTCGGTTTTTGTTTGAAAGATTTAGTATGTAACAATTCGTCATAGAGTAAACATGTCTCATTCATGCCATATCTGTGGAAAATATTTCTCTGAACCGTTCAATTTACATCGACACAAACGAAAAGTGCATGACCAAAAACCAACTGACAACATTCGCATGGCGACTGATGGATCTGCAGTTTTGCAACACCTATTTACATGCATCGTAGCTGGGTGTATTTCGCTACAAGGTAAAAAATAATTGGGAATGTCACAGTGCCTTTTTTAACTATATATCTGGGGAGGGGGGGGGCAATTGCCCCCCAGGGAAAGAATTCCCCCCCCCTCAGTAAAGCGATTTCTGCCCCCGAAGTGCGAAGCAAAATTGCTCATGATTGCTGTCAGAATTGCAGTTGATTTACTTGATGAGATTATGCCCTTCCATGGCCTCCTCCACAGCCATCTTGTGTGTAATTCATATTGCTCTTCACAGAGTATTTCATAATAGCGATTATTAGATTTCATGCAAACAATCCGATAAAATGCTAGCCTTTCCAAGTCTTGCGACTATGTCCTAGCACTCTCCTCAGCAGAGACGTTGAGTTTTGTTTTGGGAGGTTTTATTGCAAAATGTTTTCTTAAAAATATCAAGTTATATTAAGAGCCCCACCCCCAATCGCCATAAAATCCATTCTCTCAGAAAGGCTAAATCTGTAGAGAAATTGGAGGGGGGGGGGAGGGGGGTGTTACACGTTACATGCTCGAAGCTGAAACTGATTAAGTACGTCTCGACTGAGGAAAAAGACGATATACTGGAGGAACTTGATGTGTGAAATCTCGTTAAAGCAGTTGTAGATATGGTTCCAAGAAGAATAGATTTAGTTTAGATTTTTAACTGTTAAATACAGTACATGTATGCATCATCATAGCATGAATATTTCTTCTCAGACTTATTCTGTGTCGTATGAAAAAGCAACGCAATTTTGAGAATACGGAAATGGTACGCAATTTTGAGAATGCGGAAATTCTGCTAGATTTCACACCCAAAATGCATGAAATCGCAATTCAGGGACTCAAGATTTCAAATGTTTTCGGACCCCGGACCCTCCTAGACCGTCTCACGCCTTTGCCGTGAGGTTCGCTCCCCCCCCCCCGCCCGCGAAATTAAGGTTTGGCTACGCCACTGGTTATGTCTGTACGATTATAGCTACAAAGAGTTGAAGTTATTGTTAAAGTTAATAAATTAAAGTTTTACAAAATCTCTCTTCAGCCTCGCGCGTTCGCCAAACCTCGACGGCTCATGTTTTTCGTTCTGCCTTTTTTCCTGTTTTGTCCCAGTGAAAATTCTTTAAAAAAGGCACTGGCATGTCATGAAAACAATTGGTCATGTCATGATTTTATGTTATTATGTTAATAAGTTCATACTTTTAAATACCGTACTTTTACAGCATTCAGATGAAGTAACTCTGAGCCGTAAACATATTTTACTTCTTGGCTATTTAATTTAATCAAAATACGATCCGCCTGGATGTATATATGTTGAACGCAGTTTTCGAAAACGTTTCGTCCCAACATTGAAATTGTGTGATCTGCCAGCCTAGAGGACTATAATTCTTGTAAGGATTCGTTAAGAAATTCGAAATTGAAGTTGGGCGTTAATTTCTTGATTTTTGAGTGAAAAGCTCACCTTTAGTATTAAATTTAATATAAGGCCTAAGTTGTATTCTATCGAACGTAAACGATCCTACGTGCCATACGAAGAATTTTAAAAACCTTTCACCTTTCGTAAGCTTTCGCAAGCGTTTTGAGCATAGCGAAAAACTCAAAGAAATATATGAAAATACAATAGCTGAATCTACAAAATTATCGTATAACATTCGGAATTTTACCCCCAATATCTGTATCTTCATAAAAACTTGACTACAAAATGTCCGCCAGCTCAGTTTTGTCGCGATATTTATCTTGTCATACAGTAAGACAACGTCGCCATAGGAACAACCGAAGGCTCGTTACGAGTTCATTGAATCAGACATAGATCAGTGCGCCTATTGCCGTTTCACCGCCCTATATATAAGCGTCCTTGGTGTAGAGTAGCCTGCATGGTAGGCGGTCTAAAATACCGCCTGCTGGGTTTGGCAGTGTAATTTGATAACCGCCCACTTTTTGTCCGGGTCCAATTAGCCAATCAGCAAACACTAAATATACAAGAAATACATGCATGCAGCAACCCATCGCCTTTTTTTAACAGATGAAATATAGAAATTCCACATGAAGTATTCCATTCCATGTTTAAAATAATAGTAGTCGCTATTGTCCCCGAGCCGACGGTGCGAAGCGCCGTGCGAGGGTACTAATTCCCCCGGCTATTTACACCCTGGGGAAACGAAAGCATTAGCGAAGTCTAAAGTTCATCAATTTCCGCGGGCGTGGGTGACCAACGATGTTGGGGTGGGTGGTCATCCTCACTGATCTCAAAAATATGGCGGACTGTCATGAATAGCGAACACTGATGGGTCCAATTTAAAGTTTGCATTATAACGACTGCATGAGGACAGCGAAATAGCAAATATTTCTTTATTTGATGATTGATAAATATCTTGCAAATACATTTCATTTTTGCTCGCATTTTTGCAAGATATTGTAAATTTCAGAAGCTTTCTCAGAAAGAAAGGGCGAAAGAATCGGCTAAAAGAAGGGAGCCCACGTTAACGAAGGTAAGTTTGTTTTAAATATTGATTTTATAAATATAATTGCTTTAAAACCCGACGGCCTTTGGCACTTTGACTTTGCGTATAATGAAACAACTAAACAAGACAGGATATAATTTCAGTGTATTATTAATATTGATTCCATTTTTATTATATTGAATTTTTTAAATAAAAAAGAAAGCAAGGTCATTTGCATGCGAGAATTTGAAATCATTTCATTGCAAACTCAAAGTTTATCGATACACAGGCAACCCAATCTTACCCTGTGTTGTTAATTTATTACGTTATATCTTTATATAATAGTATAATGAAAAGCACTTACATGTTTTTCCTGAAAGATTTTAACGAGAACCGGCCAAGATTGGCGTTGACAAGAGGTTAACGGTCATAGTTGTGGTTGACATGAGGATTAACAGCAGGAAATAATACAAGGCTGGTCACTTTGACCGTTAATTGGACTAATTGGGACAAACGCTGACAGAAATCAATCGAATAACGCAAACTTCGACTGTCGCATCGTCGCCAAATTACGTTACATCGGAAGAGCAATAATTTTTACATATTATACTTTTCTTTAACAGAATTGAACAATAATCTTCCTGCAGAAAATCCCAATTGAAACTTACAAATGTCTAATCTTCCGAGGTTTGTGATCGGTATGAATCCATGGCCTTCAAATTCGAATTACACGCTGCATTGTCATTGGTCGGTTGTTGTTTTGAAAGCCGATTGATTTCTGTCAGCGTTTGTCCCAATTAGTCCAAATAACGGTCAAAGTGACCAGCTTTGTATTATTTCCTGCTGTTAATCCTCATGTCAACCCCAACTATGGCCGTTAACCTCTTGTCAACGCCAATCTTGGCCGGTTCTCGTTAAAATCTTTCAGGAAACACATGTAAGTGCTTTTCGTTATACTATTATAAAAAGATATAACGTAATAAATTAATAACACAGGATTTTCTAATGATTTTCAATATACTATTTATATAAAAATATAACGTAATAAATTAATGACACAGGGTAAGATTGGGCCGCCTGTGATCGATAAAGCCACAGTTTAATTATTAAAAGGCAGTTTAGTTTTATAAAGAACACTTTAAAACGTTTTGCGAAGCGTTTTTGGTTGAATTTTACCTTAAATTGAAGCTTATATTACGTAGAATAACATACCTAACATATATATGTTGGGAAATTGATAATTTTGTAATTAAAAGTGATATTTTTAGGCGATTTGTAAGAATATTCTTAAAAAAATATCGTGTTACCATGACAACTACTTTAGACTGACTCAGTGAACTCCATGTCTTTTATCTGGAATGATAACATGCGGGAGAAACGTGAAGCCAATGCCAACGCCACTTGACGTGCGCTGATTCGTGATAGACTGCGTGGTGATGGCGTATAAGTGGAATGAAACTGACGTACTATATGGCGTGGGAGTTGACCGTGCGCGGTGATGGCGTATAAGGATTCTGAAACTGACGTACTATATATTTTATTTATTTTTTATTTTACAATCTTTGTCACATGACCGGTTTAACCCACAGAGCTAGTTGCACCTTTACGGGTAACCTGCTAATGCAATACTGAAATATAGGTTAACACAGTGGATATATCGCTTCAAAATCGCTAATCACTGAGACGTTAGATTTAATGTGGTCCTGAGCAATTCTAATCATGTGGATCGAAAAAGAAAAGGAATTTAATTTAAATTCCACATGCTCACTAAAAAGTGATATTTCCACTGGGTTAACAGCAACTAATGACAACACAGTTTGACAGAAAGACTGGACAAGGGACGACACAAATGACACTTTACACACACTGTTTTAAACGTTTGTGGAACATCAATGTCGTAGACCTCTTCAACAAGCTTTTGGTAATATTTAAATAGGCCGCATTTAAATTGACTGACTGAGAGATTTGACTGCCGTAAGTGTGATGGTAAACAGTTAAAAGTCCTGGGTATCTGCAGTAATAACTGTTCTGAAATGTTGAAGTGTTTACTCTAGGAACTTGTAATATAATTTTTGCTGTTCCATCATTTTCTCTCGTCAACCGATCTGTTGTCTTTACATGGATATTATGGTCATTAGATAGAACTAACGCTTTGTAAAGGTAGACCATATCCAGGAATTCATGCCAGTATGTTAATGGTAGTAAACCACTTTTGACAAGTCTATCTTTGTATGATACTCCTGACAGGAATGGCAGTGATAAAATGTATCTCGTGGCGCGACGTTGGACGTTTTCTACTTGAAGGATAAGTGATACGGACTGTGGTGACCAAATTTGCGTGCAATATGCCATCTGGCTTCGCACCATTGTCTTGTAAAGCGCAAGGCGGGTTTTCTCGTTGCGAATGTCCATTGATGATCTTTTAATGAAGCCGAGAATTTTGTTCGCTTTGGCACATACCATGTACACGTGCTGGTTCCATTTCAAATCGGATGTGATGATCACTCCAAGATCTTTCTGGGCATTGGTTCTCTTGATGGGAGTGTCGTACTTAAGGTGGTAGCTCGACGGCACTAGCTTCAGATTTCTGGTCACCGAAAGAACTTCACATTTCGATTGATTCAGATCCATCCGCCACAATTCACACCAATTGTTAATACCATCGAGGTCTTTTTGAAGATATTGTTCATCCTTATGTGATCTAACTGGACGATAGCATTTAGTATCATCAGCATACAAAGCAATAGACGATGTAGATGTTTCCTGCGGAAGATCGTTCACGTAAAAAATAACTGAGAGGCTAATATTAGGTACCCTGCGAGCAGAGCCTTATTTTCGTTTCTTCGGGTAAATATTAGGCCAAGCAATACTATAATTAAAACTAAGACGTATATTGTGTCACAAATGGCACAAATTATGTGAATTTACAGTGTAGATATATTATTATGTGAATTTACAGTGTAGATATATTACAGTATAAATATAAAACAAACTCGGAATAAAAGCATCTTGTGTACACAAACGAGGGACAATTCACTCCAAAAATCCCGTACACTTCGTCAAAAAATCCGGAAAAAATCCAGAAAAAATCCATGAAATCCTCAAAATCCGTTGAATCCATCAAAATCCGAAAAATCCTTTAAAAACCACAGAAATCCTTCAAAAATCCACAGAAATCCTTCAAAATCCTTAAAAAATCCGCAAATCCACAAAAAATATATGAAGTACTTGGTGTAATTTACTCGTAAAGGTTCTTTGCCACGTTCAAAATGGCAGACAGAGAAAGCTAAACGCTTACCGTGATCGCTGTCATTATATTTCGTAATTATTGGACCACTCTACATTTCCATTTATACGCTCGAGTATATGCTAAGTTTTTTTAGCCTATTACTACTAAATATGTGTTCTTGTTACAATGACGTTATGTTGTAAAATATAATTACAAAACCAAAAGTTATTCACCATTGTCTTTTACTGTTTTTGAAAGAATAATGAACTTGTTTGAATTTTAAACAAAATGACTGCATGCCCAGCCTTCGTTAGTTTCTGAAGGCTGTGGTCCTAGTCCCTGTCCTCTGCTCGACCCTGACGTTCTGGCATAACGTTAACGTCGTAGAACTTAAGATTATTTGTTCAAAACGTTACCTAGCTCTATAACTCTATAATTAAAAAAAAATCCAGATAAAATCCGAACAAATCCGGAAAATCCAAACAAATCCGGAAAATCCAACAGATTTTCAAAAATCCAAAAAAAATCCGAACAAATCCGGAAAATCCAGCAAATTTTCTCTTCAAAAATCCACTAAAAAATCCGGGAAAAATCCGCTAAAAAATCCGCGGATTTTTAAAAATCCGAAAATCCCGTACGCTTTTTTGGAGTGAAATGTACACAAAGTTGAGTAATTGACCAGATAGATACAGTAATCTTTAGACTTATATGTCATAATATTATCAAACCCACAATTGCAAATGACCATCTATTATATAGCGATCCAGGAACGATGACATCTTAATTTTGGTACTTTTTACCCGATCAGCAGGAGAGTTCTCGGAACGAAATATTGTTTTATAATGCATATGTACCATCGATCGCTCGACCGCAACTACAAAACACGACATCGCAACTATACCCAATACCCACACTTACCACTCTCTGAAGCATAAATAACTTTTAGTCTGCTCTGATCACTTTCAACTGTCATATTTACACTTACTGGTCTGGGAACAAGATTCGTAAATGACTACAAAAAGGAAAGAAACACAAAGACATAAAGATCATATCAAAATCAGCAAAGGAAACGTACGGAATCGTGTTACTGTAATCAAATGAAATATACATTCAACAATAATATACTTTATATTTTTGTGGTAGCCACTCTTTGGATTAGGGTCTGGGGACGACCCCTCCAAGCGAACTAAAACTAGTAGCCTGCAAAACTAGTAGCCTGCAGACGAGAATGGATCCTGGAATCAAACTCCACTGGTGTAGGACTCTGCATGCATTGTAGCTTATGAATTTGACTCCATCACTATACTTTGACGTTATTTTCAGACTTTTTTTTAGTTGATAGACATTTACTGCAGGTTTAGATGATAGCTAGCTCAAGTCCCTCTAAAAATCCGTAATGCGCTCATGCATTTTGATAATGCCTGATATGACTCGGAGGGCCACTTAGTACCTTAAAAGCCATGAACTTGTGATAAGGTTTTGGCGCCCAGGCGTAAACCTCAATTCTGTCTTGAACAGCTATAGATAAGAACTTTATTCGATGGAAGTTGACTGTAAATAAAAACAAAATTAAACATTACTCCTGAAAGTAGAAGATATTTAATTTTATGTATGGGAACATTTGAAATTGTATTATAAATGTTGCAATACTTTACATTTTCTGCAGTTAAAGTATACATCGAGTTTTGCATTTAGGACGAAAAATACAATAAAAACGTGATTGCATAGTGGTGTCCGGTCCTGTCCTGTACCATGCGATGCCATGCTGTATGCATGCATGCATGCATGATGCATGTATACAATATACGATATAATTATTATATTATATTATTTTATACCATATGTATATGATCTTATCTGAAAATAGTACGGAAATTCAATTTTCATACTAATTGCAATTTCCACACTATATGCCTATGGATATTATAATGTATGGATTTCACTATTTTTTCCAGTGATACTATATGTGCAATATACTGCATGTATGCTGTATGCATGTACAATATACTATATATGTATGCTGTATATGTTTGTACAATATGTATGCTCTGTATGTACTTTTCTGCACTATATACTCAATAGTACTTTAAATGTGCTGAACTGCACTGTTTTGAACTGTATACTGGTTTAAGCTATATACAGAAATCTAGTGGTTCATGATACTTACCAACTTTGTAATGAGTACAACCGTCAAATTCACCCACGGTAACGTACCCTCGCAATTTATTTTTATCGGCCTGTAGGAATGCGATTTAAAGATGGTTACCGAAAATTAATATTTCGTGAGTGTGTGATGATTTTGTGATTTATTTTTATACGATACTGTACCTCATCTCCTTTCACGATCTTGTTTTTTAACCAAGATAAATAATACACACGCAATTTATTTGTTTTCCCTGGAGAAAAGACAATAAAGATATGAAATTAGTTTTTGAACAATAAATATTAACCTGTGCAATATTGTATGGGCGTTTAAAAATATGTAGGGGGCATCCATTTAGTACGCAAGTTAAATTTCAGGAATATTTTATCAAAGCACCCCATTTGTAAGCACCCTCCCCTATATGCGTGTACATACCCCTATGCGTATGCATACATGAAGACACTATGAATCACCTTCCCTCCGCATCATATGATTTTAACTCCATTACTTAATACTTATTCCAAAATAATATATAAGCATGTTTGGTGAACAATCCGATCGTACTGTATTTGCCTTGTCTAGTGCACATGCCTTTAAACCTCTGATCTTTATTTGTTGAAATAAAGTTATTCTTTTGTCCCAAAAAATAATTTTGCTTACTTACGAACGAACGTTTTAACCATGCACCTACCCCCATTTATACGCAAATGTATAAATCAACATAACCCCCATGCGTACGTACTAAATGGACGTCCCCGCGTACTGTATAAAAAGTCTCGTCGTTTAAAACGTATACTTCTCCACGGATAAAACCAATTGTATCTTCCATGACCCCTAGTGGGCAACCGTAAAGCCGTATAAGAGATTTCATAACACAAAAATACATTACCACTAATACTCGTTAAAACGTTTATGCCTTCCAAAACGTCAATCTGTTCAAATCTCCTCCTTGACACCATTGTAAAAACTAAACACCAAATAACACAAATATGATTATTTTTCTACGGTATGTATGCATGCCGGTATGTATACATTAACGTTACGAACCGATCTAAAAAATGTACAAGCATAGTGTTAAAATGCCATATGGGAGTACAACTATAAAGATGTGAAATCATGGAACTAATGTCGCAGATATAACATTAGAGAAAGACAAATGAAATTTTAAAAATGGCCTGTTTGTTTTAAAAGATCCAAAATCCTAAATAGTTGGGCTTTATTAGCCTAACCAGCTCGTGTTATTGAGCATTAGAGTATGAAGTAGTATACTAATACCCAAGGCACTTTAGCATTACCCTTGCTTATTTATATGTATGACATGTAAGTCCCTACCTTTTCCGTTGCCGCTTCTATCCAGCAAAAAAAGGCCATTTTCTGTTCCAATCAGAAGGTTGACACCTTTATTAACAAAACAACTGTGTTAAAACAAAACATTCCAAGCCCTTGCCAAGACACATACGTGCATGTAACGTGGATTTCACCAAGTATGGAATAGATAAGAAAAAGACAAATCCCACCGAAATACATATGTGAACAAATGTTTCACACAAATGTTTCACTGTGAATAATCTGTAAAAACTGCCAGTATATTATCAGAATACACTCACCCCAAAGCGCACCACAGAGAATTTCAGTTCGAAATTTGTATTTATATTTACCAATTTGTGGCATCTGGAAAGTAAGCACAAATTGTAATCACACGCCAAACAAGAATGGAGTATTTCACAATGCAGTAGGAGTTTTATGTTACATTTTACTAATGTTATACATTACAAGATCCTAATTAAGAA